ACCTTAGCTTTTCTCAACACTGTATCAGATTCCCTCTTCATAAAGACCATTCCATATCCCCCTGAGATTACATTTGTCACCACCCTATTGTCCAGTCTGTTCTAATACTACTTTCCCATAATCTAAACACTATTGGGCTACTACTAAGTCCTCAGTCATTACTATAATAAATACATCAGTACAGTATCACTGTAATTATACAAACACAGTAAGTGATCCCTGCAATAGTAAAAACACTTTTAACACAGAATAGCTATAACCTCACCAGGCAATTGCATAATTCTAATTACATTCTTTGTTCGCTTCTGATTTAAATTTGTGTAAAAAGAACATCAGGAATCCCAAAGAAATACATCTATGTTCTCTTATACCACAAAGATGACTGCAAATATATCATAAGGAGCAGGAAATGTAGCTCTGTAGCAATTAATTCTGCTGACCATCCTGCTTTTCTCTCAACAAGAAGACATATAGTATTGACATGGTTAAAAACCACATTTCATCACCTTTATTTACCTAGTTCAAATAAGCACATTTATGGCTAGGTCGACTATGGTTGTCTAAAGACAGAGTCCTTGGCTTAATAGCAAATCACTATGCTTACTTGCTCTGTATCATGTCCATGCGGTCTAACCTACGGAGCAAATAGTACTAACAGAGTCTTCTCAAATTTAACATTCATTAAGAACTTTCCCAGACAGAGTTTCCAATGGCTAATATATTTATTAACTAATCTGGAAGCACAGAAGTTCTGTAGGAAATAATATTTTAACCAAGTAGGAATAATTTTCTGTCAAATACTAGGGAATATGTTCCATGCATGGACAAAGAATTGACTACAGAGCAGTACCTAAGCATGGTTTTGGCCAGCAGACTGGAAGATAAAATCAACGGTAGCTGCCAGAACTCATATACTATCAGAATAAGAAATGCTGAACTCACAGAAGAGATATACAATTGTATATATTTAACACTGACACATGTCATTTTCTTGGATTACTAAAGCAGCTACAAATCCCGTAAAAGTGCTAAGCAGGAAAGTGGGTAGACTAGTAAATTCAACACAGCGTCGATACTAAGACAGCCCAATAGTGATATGAACACAGTCTGATGGAGATGTGACACGCAGAGAGGACACAGGATAAGAGCCATTATTTCCATTCAGAATCTACCCAGGCGGTTCAATAGCAATATTCTGCTGGTGGAACATACACAGCTCTTCACTCAGTACTTTAAACTGCGCATAGAAGTTACTTGTGTATAAATATGTACCAGAAAAAAATCTGTTATACTATTTATAGCTTTCATTCCTTACCTGTGTTGTTAAAATTCTTACACCATAAGCTTGGAAGAAAGTAAATTAGTCACCATTAGTAAAAAGAAAACATATAGATACTTCTGCACTTCTAATATAAATATTTTCAAGTATTAAAAAAAAGATACAAAGTGTCATTTATCAAAGATCACAGTTGTACTAGTCCCTCAAAAATAAGTCTGTTCAATTTTATCTTTTTTATTGCAATTGTCCATTTGGATTATGGTCTGTTAGAGTAATAAGGTAGCTGCTTTTGTTTAGCCAGCTCAGACTGACAATGATACTAGTAAATTAAATTGTAAAACAAAAACAGGACAGCTTTTCTCATGTAATCAAGACTTCTCCATGTGCTACTTAAAGCTAGAGGAACAGCTTAGGAGCCATCCTAACCCACTGCAGTCAGAAGCAGGTTTGCTATTGACATAACTAGGGTGAGAATATTGCCCATTTGTCAGACAGTAAGTACAAACATACATTTGCCTTTACCTTACAACAGTCAGATCTTGTAGCCTGGATATGGTCGAAAGGTTTAGCATGCAAAGACAACTGGGTTTTATTTATTTATTCATTCATTTACTGAAGACTTTTCTATGGTATACACACTTCTCTGAGCACAGTAAACTATTAACGATTGGGATTACATGGATTCTTCTGGAAAATACATTTTGCTTAAGATGGGTCTCATCAAAAGAGAAACCAATCAAGAGAGACATTCACCATGCTCTGAGTGAGGTAATCTGGCTTCCCATGAAATGATAAAGCTGTTACAGACCTAGGCAGCCTCTATAAATAGATGGGAGACTGCATACGAGAATAGAGGCTTGCTGTGCAGACCTCACATTCACGGCCTCAGCTGACTGATCCCCAGTCTATAAAAATTGTGTCACATGGTGATTATACATCCTCAGGAAGACTGAATGTTTGAAAAGAAAGCAGTTTGCCAAACCTGCCTTTTCCTTCCCCCAGGAATTTATAACAATACAATCCAAACTTGTACGTAACACAACTTCATGGCATCAGCTCAAAACAAGAGAAAATGCAATACAGAAATAAATAATTGTGCAAAGCATCCCCAGGCAAGAATCTCAAACCAAACAATGCATGAAAAGTCTGCAAACAAAACCAGTTTAAAGTACCTCAGTGCCTTTGAGCTGACAGCTCTTTTTCATACAGCTGATAGAGCAGGAATTTTTTACTAGAGCCTGAAACATAGATTCAGTCTCCTACAAGAATATTAAGTCTCTGCTGTAGAGAAAAGAAACCTTCTCTTTCTTAGTTTATCCCAAATTTCATCAGTCTGCTTGACTGCACACTGAATAATCCACAGATTGACAGAAGTGCAGATAACAAAATCAATCTTCAGTTAACTAAACCCAGCTGTCAGTTTAGATCAATAAAATTTCATAAATATTTTTATATATGTGTAATAGAGTTTCAGAATGCTGAAGAGTAGTGACAAACTTTCAGAATTGGATAGAGGGTGGTAACCAATTACCTCCTTCCTAAATATGGCCCAAATTCCAGAGATGCTGAATATCCACCAACATATCTTATCTGGAAGCAACTTAATTTTCTTTTAAAAACCCCCAAGTTCCACCAGAAATTCTCAACTAATGAGGCAGACCTCATCAGTCCAACATGAGCACATTGCAGATGAGGTGTGGAGCTCAGCTCGATCCACGGTGGCTCTGCCATATGCCAGCAGGGGCACTTTCACACTCTGCTTCTAAACCTGGAGCTTAAGGGTGCAACAGGAGCAGTCCCTGAGCCATGAGCAGGTGAACGCAGCAATGCAGGGAATACTGCCAGTTTTCCAAGGTAAGTCTTGGACTCAGCATCTGAGACCACAGCCCGAAGCTGTACTGAAAGTAAAATTTGAGTGGAATAATATTTCAGAAGTCTCTCTTCTGACCACTCTTTTATTTGCAAAAGGCAGTGGGGAGTGCAAGAGGTACAGATCCAGGAAAGATAAAGTGCAAGGATCCCAAACTACAAGGAAGACAAAGATGATTGCTCTACAGGCATTGCTCCAATAGATAAACCTATAATACATTACCATGTGGTAATTCTCCTGGGCAGTGACATCTAAAATTACTCAGCACCAGCAGGGCTTTCTACTGAACAACCCAACATCCACGTACTTAAACAGCATAGACTGGAAAAGTTTGATATTTCAGTCCTGTTGCTTTGTATTCAAAGTTATTTGTTCACTAACAGAGGAGATATCTTAATTATCTGGGTCTCTAAAACTGCTGTATCAAAAGGTTTGATCTCTGGGGTGAGTTTGTGCAGTTCCATTAAAGGTCATGAAATCACACCATCTGAAGATGTGCCCTACATTAAACTCACTCACTGTAAATAAAGCCTAAAAATGGAGTAATTTCGTGCTAACAAGGCAATTAGCCCAGTCCAGCCCTGTTTCAGCTGGTAATAACTACAGTTTTGCTACTGACCTTCAGATAGCAGGTGGATTCCATCCACAGCACATAAAACTTCGTATCAGCCTCTCACTGGAAGGGGTGAGATTATTGGGGTGTAAAGAATTATATGAGGGCAACTGCTACAATCTAGTACAACTGGATCATAACAGGGCATGATGTTCAGCAAATTTTATGTCTTACAGGGAATGTGAAAGTTGTTTCAGAAATCCATTATCATTTAGTTCTCCAAAGATTAATTTAAACTGCAGAGTACAGAAATTTGTATTTTAGTTACAAACTGGACTTGTAACTTCTTCCTCTCTGCATTATTTAACACACCATTTAATATATATTCTCATGTCAGTGAATGAGGAGAGTAAATATGACGCCTGACCAGATATGTGCTGAAATTTTATTAATTTTATCTTAGCTTCCCAGGCTTATCAAAAAGATATATGTATCTCAAATATTTGATATTTTGTAACCTTTACATAATACTGATACTCTCACATATCCCTCTAACTTTTATGTACATATCACCAATGAAAAACTGCAGTGAAGGAAAGAAAGATAAAGTATTTGTCTTAAGCTGCAACTTAACCTGCACCCAAGATGCAAATTAGATTCTTTTTAAAATAAAAGTCCAAAACACTGTTCAAAATTTGTTCTGTCATTTGCTCCCAAATACAGACCTCAAATGACAGAATATGTGGAGCTTGTTCTGTCCATAGTTTTTCCCATTAACAACTCTACTCCAAACTAAGTAGCACTGGGACCATGCTTGCTCCCAGTTCTGCAGCATGCACTCTAGCAGTGTACAGTCAAGTATGTTTTTAAATATGCCTATGTCTCTATCTATAGGACTTACAGAACAGGCAGTAATGTGACACATTTTCAGCATTTGAGGAACAAAGTCTAAACTTTCTGCTGAGAGGATATTTCTCATAACAGATGCCCTTGTCTTATAAAAAGGTTTTATTTTCGATAGAAAAGTATATTTAAAAACACAATTATTTGCCAAAAGCAATATAAAACTCTCCAGTTTTAACTTCATAAAAGTTTAACAAAACATAAATATTGTTTACCACTTACATTCCTATATACAGATCTTGCATTAGACAATTAAATAGGCAGAGAGATAACTCAGAAATGAATGGCATATGACTACATGAGATTCAAATTCCATGTCACACCGCAAAAGCACAGAAACACAAGGAGCAACTTAAAATCCTCAGTCACCGAATTCTGCTTTGTTCTCTTTACTGCTACGTTCCTCTTTTCTCTGCAATAACGCACCAGTTTCCATGGTCATAGCAGGAAGAAAGTATCTGAAGCTCAGGCACATTCTCTTCAACCAGGGAGCTCAGCTCCCCTTCCCGAAAAACATGATAATAACGCATGAAGGCTTTTGTATCCAGCGTGGCCTCAGTCTGGTCCCCAACAGACACTGCTGAATCCAAAGCAGAGTCAGTGGAGTCAATTGTTGAAGTTCTTTTGAAAAATTTGCTGGCATCAGACTTACCAGCACCATCTTTACTACAACCACAGCTGTAGTCTTCCACTGGACCACTTATGAATGCAGCTTCTTCACTCTTGCTCTGAGCTACACTTTGGTGTCCTCCATTTAATCTTAAATCCTTCAGTGCATCTATGGCTGGTGAGCACTCTGGTTTTTTGAGAGGCAGGCTTTCCACAAACACATCGTCATCATCTAAACTTTGTTCCTTTAACAGTGCCCCATGGTGACCTAAATCCAAACTGCAGTGTCGCAAATGCTGAATGGGCACAGCACTGTGTGCCCATTCTCCTTCATTCTTCAGAGGCTTCATTCTGTCAGTTTGCTTTCTCAGGGCTGATTCATCGAGTGATCTGGAGAAAAACCACGAACGAAAAGATCTTCCTAGAGCACTGTAAAATCTGTTTTCTTCTTCAGAAATTTTCATGCAGCAGGCTCTGGATAAGCAATGGTCTGCATCGTAGGAATGTTTTGGATCAGTTTCTGGCTGCAGATTGGCTTGGTAGCTGCAATCAGAGATGACAAGCTGGGAAGGGTGTACATCTCGACTTTTTACAGCATGCATGAACTCACCCTTATCTCTAGATTGATTCGATTCTGAAAAATGCCGTGAGCACAAGGCCTTGTTCCAAGGAACAAATACATCTTGTTTCTCAAAGCGACGATTCTTTTGTTCCATAGCCCAAACATAAATCATCATCTGGCCTCCAGGTACCAATACCCTTGTCATTTCCTTTATTGCTTTGATTCTTCTTTGTTTAGTTGAGAAATGATGGATCACTATGAAAAAGGAGAGGCATTATGTATTGAATATTAGAAAGGATGTAACATTTTCATCTCCAACCTGCTATACACATTTAATCACTTTAGTTGCCATATCACAAATATCACTTGCTGCAAATTAGCTACAGTGCTGAATTTATTGGTACCACAGTGCAAATTTACCACAGAATTATCTCTTTTCCATCTCTGTTCAATGGATAAAAATAGGCAAATCCCAAAGAAGGAAAATAATTTCCATTCAAAATAAGTCAGGAATATAAGCTGGAGTTTCTGTTTCCCTGCATCACCCATAAAAGATCATAGCATGACTAGCTTTCACTAAGATGCCTGCCCTTTAAGTGAATTAGGTAAGATTAAGTTTGACTTTAGATTTGGGACACATTCCAGACTTACCTTACAGGAAACATAACATCTTTTCACCATGTAACAAATACAGCAGAAAGTAATAGCAGTAAAAAGATACTTCGTGTTTTCATAGCAGTGCACTTTCAAAAGAGTGAGAAAATTTAGATAGAAATCCATTTTCCATTGCATTAATTTTATAGAAAGACATTGCCTTTATAGAATGTTTGTTTTGGAGAGAAAAAGAGATGAAAATAAAGTATCTCAGTCTACATCTGCACGTCTAAGAATGATGATGTTTTGTTACATTATGTAATGCTATTAAAAGATTAAAAGTAACAAAATAAAACTATTGATCACTATATTTGAACTTTCCAGGATAATTTCCCAATTTTCAAATTTCACTGTAATGTGAAATGAAGCTATGCTTCAAGATTTCCACACTGTTTATATCTTTCTGCTCACCTGAAGGAACTGATTTTAACAGACCATGAATAGCTAAGTCAGCTATTTGCTTTCTGAACTCTCAAAACCATGAACTTTTAATCTTGTCAGGCCTATAATTGATATAAACATTAGACAGGTATCCTTCAAAGTCAGCTGATCCGATAGCACTGAAATTATGCTACAAGACCTGAAATGTGGATAGCGCCCACTGGTTAGCTAGCCAACATTAAAGCAACATAATACTGGTTGTGTATAATTCACTTTTTCTTTTACCCTGCATATGTGAAAAATACATTTTAAAATACATTTCTATCACAGTTCAAATAGTATGTTGATTGCTACCAATAATAATTATCATGCTTTATATTTTTGCTGATACAGTGAAACAGCCTGAAAGAAGGTCAAGCAAGAGTAGAGCTAAAAATGTAGACTGTAATGGAGTACTCTATCTTTCATCTACCCATTTTCAGTTCATACTTCTCAAATTATGATTAATATTCTCAAACAGAGAGGTCAGAGAAGTTAAGATGCTGAGATGCTTCACTCTTTTAGACAACAGACATTTGTATGGCTCTAAGTTCTTATTTCATGACTATTCTAAGAGAAATTTATATTCATAACACATAATAGTTAACATGATTCAAGTTCTGCTATAGAGAAAGCAAGTTTTCATTTCAATGCATTTGCTGGTCAAAACAGATCCTAAGGAAGAACCAAGAGTTTATCTTGACCAGCTAATCTGTTTAAACTGCAAGTAGCCATGTTTATGTTAGTTTTTCTTCTTTAAAATGCATGTTGGAAGGAAATCTTTTCTCCACAAAGTGAACAAGACCACATATAAACAAACAAATGATCCACATAATTCCCTGGTCATCAGCGCCTCTGTGCAATGAAACTTCTTTTCCCCAAGTTTTCTACATTTATTTCAGTAATATCTGCTGTGATTCTAAAGGAATTATTTCAAACCAAATTTAACTGCAATGAAGACACATGGGAAAAAAAGGATCAAAAAAAATTTGCATTTACTGTGGGCCACAATGCATGTGTGTTGTCTTACCTCCAATGGAAATGACTGCATTGAAGCATTGGTCCCTAAAGGGAAGGTTAAGATTGTCACATATCAGAACTTCACCATCTTTCTTCCTTGCAATCTCTACCAATGGTCCACAGTAATCACAGCCGAGATTATACACCTGGCTGTTGACACTGAGATACTTTCCAGTTCCACAACCTAAGGAAAAGAATACCAGATCAGAAGTTGTATGTCCCAAACACTTGCTATCCTTCCCAAAGCAGTGAAAATAATGGGGAGGCTTTCCTAATTCTAAGATTTCCTGGAGAAGAGAGCTTGCTCTTACTAGCCTAACTGCTGCAGGGTTCATCTGGACTGTTTGAAATAGCAAGTTCACACTGTTAGGAGTGTAACAGTACCAACACCACCAACAAAAATACTCATTGCACAGCCCTGTGCAATAGCAAGTTATGCGTATTTCTTTGACAGGTAAATGTAGACAGGTACATTTCTTAGACAGGTAAATGCAGGTGGGAGGAGGAAGGAGTGGTCCTCTGTAGCCACTGTTGCTTATCTTAGAGCAAAACCAGCCAAGTTTTTTCATACTGACTCTTTTTCATATTTCCAACCTTGAGCATATTTAGGAACTCAGGAAAGAAAAAGAACTCAGTAAGCATTATTTCCCTTTCCCTCAATACCCTTCCAGCTTCCAGTTACTTTCTGTTCAGGGGTTTTCCTGAAGCCAGCATGTTTTGCCTTTTTAGTGACTTGCAACAGATCTCCCTCCCAAGTACTTCCCCAGTCTTTGCTAAACCCCACACAGCACCTTCCCATTTCTCTCCAAGAAGTCATAAACCACAGCTGTCACTGACACAAGTCCGAGAGGAAAATTTTAACTTCAGATACAGACTTGAAAATAACTGTGAATCATAAAAATTCCTGCCATGCCACAGGCACATCCTCTTTCTGTCTTTGTGCCAATGCATTATAACGCATGTAAACATAATGAACTGTTCCAGAATGGCTTCCACCTAAAGAAATGTCTTCTCAAGGACAGTACTGTACTAAATTGAAATCTTTCAGAGTGTTCTTCAATGCTGTATGCATAACAGGCACTTTTCAAAATTAGATTAGGAAACATTCACTGCAGTTATGGGTCAGCAGTGAAGAATAATTTCTGAAAGCTGACAGCCAAGCAACGGGGTAGCAGCTTGGCAAAGAGAACCATCTCAGTATCGGTAATTCAATTTAAAGGCCTGGAGTTATCTTTAGAAACATCACTGCTTCTTGCAGCGCTGCTGCTCTTGTTGATGTTAATGTGCACCATTATCTAGAGAGACAGCACAGGAACTGTTAGGGAACAGCACAACACTTCAGTGGTGAAAAGAGCGTATTTCTAAAGCAAAAACCAAGCACTATTCTTTGAAGTAACTCTTGAGAGAAATGGAAAAGATTAATATTATTAATGCAGTTCAAGGAATATATGCAATAAAACATTAAGCTCTGCATGTTAGAAAATGTAAGTTTAAAAATTAGTATAAAGTATTATTGTTTGCTGTGTTTGCAGAAGGAATGCATTGTCAAACGTACATTAATTCAGAAGATTCAGTTGCTTAATACATGGCTTTTGGTGGAGCGCTTTTTACTCACAGTGAGGGATTAGAAGCAGGAAGTATAGGATCCTCTCTGGAATGAAGCTAAATAGTGAAAACACTCTCAATACTCTAAAAATCTACATTTCCAGGAGATTCACTTTTAAATGAGTCATCAGCAGGTGGATTCCTTCATACAGCTGTTAGCAATGGCCATGCTATTTTCATTTATTTTGATGAATGAACAATAATAAGGCAATTAGACAAAATGCTATTTTATACTGCTACCATTACCATGCTTCATGTAAAGCTAGCAAACAAAAACATTTTAATAAAAGGTGGTATTAAACAGAAAAGGAAATTATTGACTGAACATCTCATTTTGAAAATTTTGGTGCCACTAGGCAACCCTCCTCACAAAATACATACCAAAAATAAACACAACAGTTGAATTCCTGTAGATCTTATTAAACTTCATAAAAGCAGGTACCTTGTGTGCCTTGATGGGAATATTCTTACTGGCAACTGTAAGCATCTACCTTCTCTGCAGATGTATCACATGCATCTAAATTATTTCAGCTGAATCTGTAACAGGGTGATTTAAGCTTTCAGCAATCACTGTGGTGGCTGCTGATAAAACCTCAAACTTCAGCTGAGCTTCAAATGACTTCTATTGAGGCGAACAAAAAATTTTGGCTGAGAAAGATCATGTTAAACTGGCTGTTGAATGAGTGTATGCTATAGGATATTTCCTTAGATTATTAGTGAAAATGGTGCAGACATATAAAAAGAAGATACATATTCAAAATAACAGCAATCAAGTACTTTTGGGGTACTGCTCAACAGCAGCAGAAGATTTACATAGTATCTTGTGATTATGGCCTACAACATCTTCAAAGAATGTTTTCTTTGACAGGATAAGGCAGATGCATAATTTATTGTGTACATTTATTGCATTTTGCTGTGTAAAAGCATTTTGTTAGTCTAAACAGTGAGGAAAATCCAGTGGTCCAAAGGAATATCTTGTTTGCAATGACGTGCAGTATAGCACTGAAGTCCTAACACAAACACACCAGGATCTGGAAACCTCTAAAAAGCCTGGAGGTGAAAATCAAGATATAAATTGAACACGTAGGAAAGACAAGGCCATAGCAGGAAGATGAGGTTTTGGTGTCTGTAGCAAGGATCATAGGGAGATTCTCAGGTCATAATTTATTTTTTTTTAAAAAAGGCAATCATAACAGATTTATCTGATGTTAAAGTCTTGATAGGACAAATGAAAAGCATTAAATTGCAGACCAGCAGTACTTAAACCAAGGATCTAAAGAAACTGAAATACGAAATAATTGAGCCATTGACACTGTTTTTTAAAATTAGTTCTAAGGGGAATGACAAACCACTAAGTCTGTGGGGAAACTAGTAGATTAAGGCTTATCTCAATCAAAATAAGGCAAAAATCATATTTACTGGTTACATGATACACTGCCAAGGAAATAAACCAAGTGGTATATGGCATCTGAGTTTAAAAACAATATTAAAACAATCTTAAAAACAAATTTAAATGTGTTTTAAAAACAATTGCTCTGAAGGATACATATGATCAACATATAAACTAAAAAAGTCTACAGACAATCTTCCACATCACCCCAAGGAATGGCTTACCGATGTCAGCAATGAGACTGCCAGGCTTTTGCTCCAGCAGAAAGTTTCGAACACGAGGCCATGCTTTGCTCTGCAGATCATTAAAGTAGGCAGCCGTATTTTCATACACACTATGCACGTGCTGCTTTTCTAGCTGGGCAGCCTCATGTTCCATCCTGACAACATAATGAAGATGGATTATGTACAACAAAACACAAACTGTTGTAGCGTAACTTTTTATAGGCATGCATAATTCAGGACCTTGTAAATTTACATCCATAAAGTCATTACACCCATCTAACAGCCATCATATTTATAAAATGGTCTTTACTTAGAGGATCTGATTTTACTCCACAAAAGTCAGCAAAAAAATTGAATGTCTCACCTTGCTTGAGGAGCATTTTATAACTGCATGCGCCTATTCAATAAAATGGATATTTCTAAACAAGTTCATCAATGTAGTAAATGCTTCTCTGGTGCAAAATGGAGCCCGTACTCAGCAGGAGTGCAGAATGATTAGGAAAAGGAAGTTAAGAATAGATTTTCCAATTGTAGATAAGGTGAGTAGGTAGGCAAACTATTAATACGTCATTTGAAATATAGTCTGGACCCTGAAACCAAAGTCCCTAAATCATGCATAAATTATTTGTGTTTTATCTACCCTCTAGAAGTGATGAGTTGGTTGAAATGTTTCAGCAACAAAACCATTATTTCCCTGCTCTCACTCCACTACCTTCATTTCTTAGCAAAGTATTTCAGTTTAATGATTCATTTGAAAAGTGGTATCTTCTTAGACTTTTAGTATTACTCCTAAGCTCATGTAAAACACAAAGCAGATGCAGATGCTAAATCATTTTAGAAAGAATCTTACATCTTTCTTAACATTTCACCTCATCCAAGCACCAACCGGGTCAGACTTTAATATCTGATGGAGGCTGACAACATTACACTTCAAAGTGTTAAGGCATTCTTCAAACTAATCCGAACTGCCTGCTTACTCAAGAAATATTCCTTCCCATTATCAAAAGAAAACTTACTTAATTGTCCAAGTGCTCAGCAGAGATTAAAGCCTGTTTCCAAACTTCTTCTAAAAAACTAAGCAATATATTATCAAGATAAAATTATAAAAGTGACTCCTTTGGCTGCATTTGAAAATGACAGAAGCAAAGACTTTAAACACACAATAAGTTTGCCTTTTGCCTTCCTTGATTTACAAATTTTCAGTGTCATCTTGAAGAGTGGAAAACTATAACAGACTGAACAACAGAAGTAGACAGTATTGAAACACAGACTTGAAATTATATTACTTGTGCCAGAAGTTACTCAATCAGAACTTTTCCCAGAATGTCATTTCAAGTTATGTTGTCAAATAGGATGGGTTAGCTGCAGGAATTTCAAATAATTATTCCTTAGAGTCAAAAGCCCACTCTTTTTTTCTTATTTGACCCTTAAATAAAACAAACCAAGAGTTTCATGTCTGCAGCTATCTTTCTTCTCTGCCTCTAAACATACTCTATTTTGTTGTTCAACTGCCTAGAAATCCTTTATTTATAAGTAGAAATTCCAAAGATGAACAATCATGTATTTTCTTTTGCCATCTGATATGCTCTTTACTCCAGTTTATACTTCATGTTTGGTTACTATGTGGTTCAGTGTTTCCAAGTGTTTTCATCTGAAGATCTTTGTTCAATCTTTGCAGTTCTAAGGAAAAAAAAAAAAAAACACCAAACGGTTTTCAATAATTCATATTGAATTCCAAATGCTACTGAAATTGCAGTTCATGCCAACTACAGAAGTAGATGTCTGAACTGAAGGTTAACTTGAATATTTTAAATCAACATAAAATCCAACTAGGACTTGACTTAGAAGATGATAAGAATTTTCCTATTGATACAATGTTATACTTTTCTTAAAATGTCTTAATTGAATTCCAATGTAGGCTGAAATTTGGCTTAGGTTCCTACTGAATCACAAGACTATTAAGTTTTTCCTTTAACTTTCTCATTCACTGGAACTGATACTGAGTCTTCTGCTATACAGGACATGCTAGAAACTCCATGTATTACAACACTGTATTAGAGGTTATTATTTTTAGATACGGTTAATAAAAATTGTCAGGGTAATAATTTGGTTTTAATCTTAGAATAACAATAGTCTACTAAAATACAAATTATTTCATTTATCAATTCATTACAATTTCCATTCCT